AGTCCAAGGGGTGGGCTAATGGGAGGGTTAGAGCTCGATTCATATTTACTGGCTCAAGATCCTGGCTTTACAGTGTTCTGTTGTAAAAACGTTAGTACCCATCACATTAGCCTGTTATAATAGCCTAGGCCACTACCTCATTATTTGTAGCAATACAGACTGGAACTGTACACAGAGTTCCAAATGCTTGGGGTTCTGCTCACAAATTGTGAGAACAGAGGACTGGACTAGATGGGCCTTTGCCCTGGTCCATCAAGGCTCTTCAGAAGTTCTTGTGCAACCTCAACATAGATTAAAGGCATTGTGATACTTGCCCTTTTATTTGCACTTTACTTCCAATCTCTTTCTGAATACCTCCTCAATTTAATATGTTCTTAATGGACATTGTCATTTTCAAAATACATTGGATAGGCATAGTTACAGGTAGGTAGCTGTGTTGGTCTGCCATAGTCGAAACAAAATAAAAAAATTCATTCCAGTAGCACTTTAGAGACCAACTAAGTTGGTTATTGGTATGAGCTTTCGTGTGCATCACATACGTGCACACGAAAGCTCATACCAATAACCAACTTAGTTGGTCTCTAAGGTGCTACTGGAATGAATTTTTTTATATTGGATAGGCATGTGGCCTACAGTATGCTTATTCAGATTTTTTTAAATCTAGAAATATGGAAAACCTGGATATTCCACAAAAACTTTAAAAATGGGAGTAAACCATGAGGTTGGGGGGCGGGAATATGTTTATTTTTGTTTTCTTCATTTTCAGGCTATTACTGAATTGCAGTTAAATCCTTGAAGGCAAAATTTAAAGTGCAATGTTTTCATATGGATATGAAGTCGTTCTTTGTATGCTTAGATGCTTATTTGGCTGCTTTAAAGGATTTACTATATGGACAGAGTTTTTGTAGGGTTCATGAGTTCTCTGCATTTTATTTTTTCATCTTTTGTAAATTAAATTGTATGTTAATACAAGTTTTCTAAAAATTAAAGAAGTCGGAATGGTTGCAATTTCAATGTGACTGCACAAAAGTGTTTCAGGGAGGAAGCATTCGTTGCCTAGTCTACTCCAGCATTGGACCTGGGTGTCGAATTAACAACAGGGGGAGGGGAGAATGGGGGACAAACAGAAACTTCCATGGTGCTGTTTATAGGGATTACGTCAGGGGTGGCAACCTTTTTCAGCTGTGGGCTGGCCCACCGTCCCTCAGACCATGTGGTGGGCCGGACTTTATTTTGGGGGGGGAAATGAAAGAATTCCTATGCCCCACAAATAACCCAGAGATGCATTTTAAATAAAAGCACACATTCTACTCATGTAGATACACGCTGATTCCCGGAGCGTCCACAGGCCGGATTGAGAAGGCGATTGGGCCGCATCCGGCCCACAGGCCTTAGTTTGCCTACCCGTGGATTACGTCATATCTCGCAAGAGGCTTACTTTAAGGGCAGCCTGCCATGAGGCAGAGTTAAGCAACTGCCTTGGGTGGCAGAATCCCGTGGGGAGGGGTGTCCCACCCATCCCTATTGCTGGGTTTGTGTGGTAGCAGTGGTGAGATCTTGCACAAGTTCCATGAGATCTTTCTGGAAACCTCTGCAGTAGCAGAACCCCAGGAAGTGAGGGGCCTTTCTGTTTTGCCCATTGCTCCAAAGTGGTGCTGGGCAGGGTGGGGATTGTTTAGTACAAAACACCTGAACTAGCCCACTGTGCTTTAAGAATTAAACAGTAAAACTTATTCAACTCTGTAATGTAGATTTGCCCAGAAAGAGGGCGATCCTAGATACAGTACCATTGTCTGGGTCCTAGTACCACTGACTGCCACAGACCCCAGGACCAGGAGATGAATCCTCTGGTTATATTCACCAGTCCCAGGAACAGCAATAACTCCCCTGGCTAGGTTGGCAATAGATGCAGCTCTGAAAGGGAACAAGAGCTGAACTTTAGAAACCATCTACCAAAAGAAGACATGGAAATCTGTATAGTGGTTTTCCTTGCAGGATTTTTGTACTTTGCTTTCAGGCTGTTTTCTTTCCTCATTTTGGACATCCAGGAGTATCCCGGCATTATGAGGATGCTTCTCCCCGTTTAAAGAAGATGGAGGTGGAGACTGCGAAAGTAGTAGGGCCTTGGTCAGCTCTGCACATCAGCACAAACAAGGTACATTTCAGGAAGATATGCCTGGGAACTCTTTGCTTAGCAAAATGACAGTGATTTGAATGCACAGGGTGTCAAAGGATGGACTAGAGGTAGAGACCAGGGGATGGATCTGTAAAGCTTCCTTGTGCGCATGTGCGCACTGCATATAACCCTGGGCACCTTTATCCCTCACTGAAATGTCACTCCCAAGTTTAGCACTATATTCCCCACCCCAGGGAAGAAATTAATTTATGTGGGAGGAAGCAAAAAGGTTTATTCAATAATATCCAAATAGGAAGCTAGCCCCTCCCCCCCGTGAACGTAAGCTGCATATGCACCACACATTTAGAACACATTGTATTCCGCAAAGAAGCCTGGGAATTGTTTACTCCTCTCAGAGCTACAATTTCCAGCACCCTTAACAAACTTAATATTCAGTTAATCTTATTTACAATCCGTAGTCTAAGTTCATTTTGTTTTGATTTTATGCTTTATTGGTTGTATCATTGAAAAACAAACAAACTACAGTTCCCAGGAATCTGTGTGTGTTAAATGTATTTTACAGTAAATGTGTGGTGTGAACACAGCCCTGGTCCCTGGCAGATTTGCTTAATCTCAGGTGCATTCCAGATTTCAAGGCATTTGCTTTATCCTATGGAATTCAATGGGAACCTTTGAGATCTGAGCCTGCCCATCTCTCTTGTGACCAGGACTCTTTTTCAGACAGAGCTCACCAGAGCTCAGCTCTGGCCCCTCTCAGGGGGGTGCCATTGCCATTCAAAGAAAGTAAGGGAGATGTTTGTGGTGAACTCCGGCACCTCTTTTTATAGAAAAATAGTGCTGCTTGTGATAAAGAGAGATAATAATTGGAATTGGCTGTAATTATATGCATATAAGAGGCAACACCCAGTATTATCAAAAACACAATTGGAGAGGGGTGAAGTCTCTTGGGAAGCTGTTATGGGGTCTCTATGTTTGGAAGAATGTGATAGGCATTTCCTATCTGTATAGATTAGCTAGATGGGCACCAGTGGGAATCTGTTAGCAGAAGTGCAACCAGCCCTGGGAGGGCACTGAAGGCACCATAGAGGTGGCAGCTGCTGCTGCTTTAAAAAAAAGAAAGGCAGCAAGGAGCAGAAAAATTAACAAATTTTTCTTGCACTACCAGAAACACTGAAAAGGTGTAAAAGGAGAGCCCTCACTCCCCAATTGGCAGCTGAAGCTGTCAGTCAGGCACACAGTTAGCTTCCCTGCTCCTCTGTCTGTCCCTAAGTCTCTGTGTGGCATTTCCTGTTTATGGAGAGCTTGGGAAACTTACAGAAATGCTTCCCAGTAAGGAAAAAATACCTTAGAAGCCCTCTACTCCCTCGGTTGCAATGCTTCAGAGCTAGGGTTGCCATACAGCTGGGAAATTCTAGACATGTCCTCTTTTAGGGGGCCAACATGTCCATCCGGGGGGATTTTTACATCTTAAAGGAAATGTCCAGGTTTTGGGGTTTTAAATTTGTATTTATTTATTTATGGCTTGGGCTCAGACGGTTTGGGTTGGGGCTGCTCCGCATGCCCTGGCCACTGCCAGCCCGAGCCAAGGAAAGAGGCATGTGGGCGCAGTGGCAGCAGCCTGTATGCCCGTGTGCCTCTTTCCCTGGCTTGGGCTGTCCTCTTTTTTGCTCTTCAAGGTCTGGCAACCCAATTCAGAGCCATCCTGCCACCTTGGGTTCCAAGGTGAACCCACATCCCTGATTTGTAATCCTCCACACTCTGGAACTGAAGTTAATATTTGTTTTGTATTTCACATAATTAATCATTTTCCAGTTTTAAGAATTGCTCTTTTAAAACCATTTTTGATTCTATAATTCAATTGAAATCAAATAGCAGCTCCCTTGTTTGGAGTCTTAAACCTCTCCCCCTGAAATGAGATGATGTGCTTATAGACTTAAATGCATGTTTTAAGAATAAAGTACAATGCTGGCTTCTGTAACAGGTTCCACACACACACACACACACACACACACACACACACACACACCTAGCAGTCCTGCTCAAGTTATTTCTCCTCGCTACAGCTGGTCTCATCTTGTGGGAATGAAGAAATATTCAGAAGAACTCTCTGTCAAGCACAGCCATCTTAAGGCTCTTGATTAAATGCCACTGTCTCCCTTGGGCTGCAGTTCACATCGGGGTGTTGACAGCCTCTGAGAAAATGAAGCACCACAAGTGATATTAAAGAAGCCTGTTACTCTTCTTGACACCACAGAGATAATATTTAATCTCCAAGGTGAAGAGAAATATCCCAAACAGGAATACAAGTATCTTTTCCCTTAGTTCTTCATCCCCTCTATCTTCAGGTATGAATATTACTGGTGGCAATCTGAGAAGAGGTGTAGAAAACCCTCTTCCAGCGGAGCTTGGTACCAGATTCCACATAGTTCAGGCTCCAGTCCCCATTTAATCATTCCTGCATTTCCCCTTTCTGGCTCTAACAGCATCCAATTGCAAGGATGTTGCTGAACTCTTCTTAACCGCAATGACTTAGTTTATGTCTTTATTATTCTCGGTACTTTTTCTGGGGGGCGCAGGTGTACGCAGACCCCTAAACATTTTGTGAATCTGAGTTTGGCCTCATTGAGGGGCTGTATTTCAATATGAGTAGGGAAATGTGAGTACCCCTAAACATTTTTTTAGGGAAAATGCGCTGGGCATTCTAGAATGTATCCAGAACTCATGCTGTGTGGGGCTTTAAAATAGGTCAAGGGGGACTTTGACTCAGTCTAAAACAGATATATTTCATAGAATCATAGAACGGTAGAGTTGGAAGGGACCACCAGGGTCATCTAGCCCAACCCTTTGCCATGCAGGAATCTTTTGCCCAGCATGAGGCTCAAACCCACAAGCCTGAGATTAAGAGTCCCCTGTTCTACCCACTGAACTATCAGTGCCAGCCCTGCCATTAGACAGAAAGGGAGGAGTGACTGGCTGCTTCAGGTGGCAAATGCTGGGTGAGGACTGTGCCCAGGCCTCCTGAACACAAATTTCTCTTGGAGAATAGATCTGCTACCCTGTTGCTCTTTATAAAGGTGACAAAACGCACCTCTGCACACACAGAGGTGGTGGAGGCCTGTTTTCAGGGTGCTATAGCAACTCTACTGCTGAATAATGACTGGGATCCAAATCATTGACCTCAGGGTTATTTTGCATTAATAATAATAAATTAGACTTCCAGATGAGATAAACCAAAATAAAAACACGCACAGTAATATTATTCTGATGGTTCTTCTCTATCAAATAGTTTTCATTAATGATCATGAGAGATAAGGTGTGAAGAGGTGACTTAGTCAGAACCATATAAACTGAGTTCGTAGCCTTCGAACAGGCATAGGCAGACTCCAGCCCTCCAGATGTTTGGAACTACAATTCCCATCATCCCTAGCTAACAGGACCAGTGGTCAGGGATGATGGCAATTGTAGTCCCAAACATCTGGAGGGCTGGAGTTTGCCTATGCCTGCCTTAGAAGCATGACTAATCTGAAGCAATGCTATGGGTCTACAGCAAAGGGCATCTCCCTTCACCATGAAAAACAAGGACCAAAGCCTTTGATGGGACATATAATGCAAATAAGCTAGACAAAACAGCCCATGGCTTGCTTTGAACGTTTTGGCTGTGCCAAAAGGAATCATTGCCCCTTCAGCATTTCTCAACACCTCTTGTGAAAATTATCACTTATTTATTCAAATTGCCCTCATCGGCCTTCAGTGATATCATCCTTCATGAAGCGATATTTGGTTGGCGGTGTTGACTCACATGATTTCATCTATTGATATCTGGTGACAGTGCCACGTTAGACACGGTGCTGTGATGACCTTATTGCTTTTGGATCCCGTTTGGGGGAAGGAGTACCAATGTGACAAAATTCAGGAAGGAAGAGCCAGCTGTTCTATCTTAAGGAAGGGACTGTGGCGGTAGGTAGAGAATTGGAATAGGGGCAGTTAGACGGTCCAAAGGCAAGGGCTGAGGCAGAGTGGAGTATTGGTGCAGTCATAGTTAGAAAGAGCAGTTGAGGAGAAAATCTGTGTTGAGCAACAGAGAGGAACATGTGCCCCACTATGTTGTTAGATTCCAACTCCCATTAGCCCCAGCCAGCATGGCCAATGGTTAGGGATGGGGTGGGGACTGCCACAGAGCAGGGACAGAACCATCTCCAAGAAGCGGAGTCATCAGATTCATCTTTGAGGAGTCGGGACATAATCGTACCTGACTCAGAAAAATTATCATGCCACTCTGGAAAAACTCATACTTGTCAGATTATCAAAAAAAGAAGATACAGCAACAATGTATGTTGCTAAGTAGTACAGCAGAGTGAAATATTATCTGTGGTTTGGGGAATTCACAGTGTAGATGGTGAATGCAATATTATATTTATTCCTGGATGAGTCCCTGTAAGCAAGAGTCCAGCACATTTGTTCCCCCCACATTACTTCAGTATTTTGAGGTTACATAAATTGGTTTATCCCTAATTGAACACGGAGCTGCTATGGGATATTTGAAGGTAACCGGTTTTCTCTAAAGGCTGGATGCAACATTGACCCTCAGGACTAACTGAAATATTCTTCAAATATCTCTTTTTACCCTTGCCTTCCCTGTGTGCTGTCAGGTGCTCTTCCTGCCCCCTCTCTCCACTGTGGTTTCCCTTTCCCTTACAAAATGTAGATGGTAAATTACTGGGGGGAAATCTAGCTTCATTTTCTTTTCTTTCTTTTTGCTTACATTACTGTACATTTCCATGCTACGTGATGGTGCTATAAAAATAAACAAGTTTTCAGTCATCTTCAGATTAGGAACAGCTCCTCCTCTGTGATAAATGTTTCCTTGAGGTAAAGGTGCACATAATTAAATTCTGGGGCAAGTGACAACATGAGCCATCACAGATTAATTATCATAGCTATAACTTTCATATTGCCCAATGTCCACTCAGACAAAATATATTAGTAGAGGCAGTTCACACAGTTGAGAGTCAAACAAAGTACATGATGCATAAACTAGTTCTTTGACTGCATCTGTGCACACTCACCAGAACATTCATATTAACAAGCCATTTTTAAAGTTATCAATTCACAACACTGGAAAAAGGCATGTTGTTAGCTGATTGATAATGCAATCCTATATGCATCTATTAGGAAATTAAATCCATTGAATTCAATGGGTTTACTCCCAGGTAAAGGAGTACTGGATTGTAGCCTAACATCATACCCATGTAAAGCTGTATCTATCACTAAAAAACTGTGTTGTTTGCCAGGTCTTTCCTTCTTCAGGCAAAGATTGGTGTTCATATGGACACTAAGGCTACAACATTGTACAGATGGTGGCAGCTGTTCAGCCTCACCCAAGTCAGCAGATTAAGTTTCTTAAGACATTTTAGTGGGCAGTAGTATCCTGCTTGCAGATCAATATGTCTGATAGAAAACTTGCTTGCAAGAGCAGGATAATGGAAAAATTAACTAATTAAAAGGATAGGCCTTCCTCTTGACATTTTCTCCACTGACTAAATATTATGATCTACCTTACATAGATGGTGGACCTAGCAAAACCAATTAGAAACTAGGGTATGTGCTCAGTTTTTAAGCTTTCAGTGTAATTTCTCTCTGCACAGCATCCTCCAGTGCACACACTGAAAAGTGTAATAGCAAGTGTGCTAATATACTCCATTGCTAATCACTCACAGGGATGGAGCTCAACCACCTCTGTCAGCTCAGAAAGGGAGGTTGTTGGGCAGTAAGTTATGGGGTACACAAACAGAATTCTCCACCTGTCCCTATTATTATTACCACCATTATTATATATTTATACCTCCCTTTTTCCCTTACAGGGACTCAAGGCGGCTTACAGATAAAATAAGAACAGCTAAAACATATAAAAGAAATAATAAAAAAATTAACAGTCCCCCGCATTGAATGCACCCAAAAGCCTGTTGGAAGAAGGTTTTCACCTGCTAGCAGATGGACAACAAGGAGGGGGCCAGTCCAGCTTCTCTAGGGAGGGAGTTTCAAGGTTGCCTGGGAGGATGGCAGGACCTAAGCTGTGTAGGGCTTTATAGGTCGTAGCCAGCACTTTGGATTGTGCCCAGAAACAGACCAGTAGCCAGTGGAGTTGTGGTAGCAAGGGAGTTGTCTGCTCCCTATAACCAGCCCCAGTCAACAATCTGGCTGCAGCTCCTTGGGGCAGCTGAAGTTTCCGAGCACTTTTCAAAGGCAGCCCCACATAGAACATGTTACAGTAATCCACAAGAGAACTATGTAGAAATAGGGATCCAGGTGCTGATTTGATGTGTGGTTGGGTAAGGAAGACAGAATCCCACTATGTCCTGCGCTGGTGCTGTCCTGAGATCTGATTTGGAAACGTCTGGAATTGATTCAATCTCAGTGATGCAATCCAGGTTGGCTTCCTCTTCCAAGATGAAATCATGAATAATTGCAGTTTTATTACAGGCAGACTTGGTATTTAGCAACAGCACTGGTTCACCACATGACCTGAGGGCAACCTGGCAGAACTTCTCAGGTTACTGCGGGAAATGGAGAGAGCTGGAAGCAGGAGGACGCCTTGAGAGTCTCAATTCTCTTCCCCTTAACTGGTCTGGCCAGTTACCTCCACTGTGTCGCCCCCTTTGTGTTATCACCAGAACAAACACACTCCTCTCCTTCCTCCCCATGCCCACCATAAACTTAAACTTTTTCTAAACAAAAAACAGTTTCAGTATTTGTTTCATTTATTCAATTGATACCATCTTTAGTAGATCACTGTTTTTTTAATAAAGAAGTTATTAATAAATCTACACAGGTAACTCACAACTGACGTGCATTTAACTTGTGCATATTCAGCTTTACACAGTTCACAATTTAAAAAGTGGGGGGCAGAAAAAAGTCTTTGGCAATCCCACCCACCATTGAACCCAAAGTGATTTGACTATACACGATTTTGGTTTCACATGCTATCCCTAGAATGTAACCCCTACATAAGTTGAGAGTCGCCTGTATCCTCCTAATTTGTTTAGGACAGCACTGTTTATTTCACATAACAGAGGTTGTAGAGTGAAGAGACATCTCTCTCAGATCAGTATGTGTCCTGCTCAGCTGTGTGTCCTCTTGTGTTGATGACAGGGTGAAGATAGCAAAACTTCAGAGAAGAGCCTTCATCCTCCTCCCGTGTCACCTTCCGCAGTACCTGACCACTTTAAATGCAACATCCTGAAGGCTCAGGTGGAAGCGGCTTTTCGTGTGGGTCCTCAGGTGGGTATGCCATGCCTGCCTCCCCTTTAAATGTTCTCTTGTGGCTTACGCACGTGTGTATCCATGCTCATGCACTACACATACAGGCCACACACACACATTCAGCACACATACACAGCATACACACTCACTGCATGTGCAAACGTTTACATGTAGTCAAGCACTCAGACATACCTTCTCTCTCACACACACATGTGCAAAGGGGGGTGGGTGGGTGTGCATACACAAAACCAGCATTTCCAACCCTACCCACTCCAGCACTGAAAAAGCTGCCTTTTACTTTGTGTTGGGAGTTCTTTTACTGTAAAGCAAAGTTGTTTCTTTGGAGGCATTTCCAGCCCATGTGGTTAGCCTATACTTTCTGAAGTCATTTAGTGTCTGGATTTATTTTCTTACCTTGGTCCCCATTGCCTGAATTTCTAGCACAAACAATTCCTGCCCAGACACAGATGCCGAGACCAAAAAGAAGCAATTTGTTAGAAATAGTCAACTGTGCCTAAGGACGTAGTCTACCATAGTTACAAATAATTTGGGATGATGCAATTTTCATGACTGCAGTTGCCTAATAATAGCAACATTTACATTGTTTTTCTTTAATAGCAAGGAAAAGAATAGGTGTGCCTTCAAAGATTTGGTCTGTGATTTATTTCATTCTCCC